ACTGTAATTTCCACGCGCCGGAACTCCACGCGTTATATCGCCACGTGTTGTAATTCTCACGCACCATATTTCCACGCGTTATATCGCCACGTGTGGTATTTCTACGCACTGTAATTTCCACGCGCCGTATTTCTACGCGTTATATCACCACGTGTAGTATCGTGACGCGTTGTAATTCTCACGCACCATATTACCACGCGTTGCACCACCTCGCGTTATATCGCCACATACTGCACATCCGAAAAACATTCCTCCAATAATTCCAAAACACTAAAATCTATAAAAATAGCTGTAACGAACATTTATGACGAAAATTTTTCCCTCTCAATATATTGCCAATTTTCAAGAATTTTATATTGCTGCAATCCTATCCGTGACAATAACAAACTGCAACGACGTAGATGCGTTATACAAACATTGATGTGTTTCAAGTATTTGCAACAACGTTTCGGAAGAGCCGCAAGATTAGCAGGCAGCTTTGCTTTCCTGCTTCAACTGCTTCTGTACAGCGGTGTCGTATTGTACGCACCGGCGCTAGCCCTGGAAGCCACCACAGGTATCTCGACGACCGCAAGCGTAATCCTCATAGGATTGGTCTGCACGTTTTATTCGACGATCGGCGGTATCAAGGCGGTGCTCATCACCGATGTATTCCAAAGCGCGTTGATGCTGATTTCCGTTATCATGATTATCGTCACGGAAGCTGTCGACGTCGGTGGTTTAGATAAAATCTGGGAGATCGCGCGGAGAGGTTCGAGGATTGAATTTGACAAGTAAACTAAAATCTCCTTAAAATTAAATATCTTTAAATACAACTGAATATATATTTTCTGCACAGAAAAAGAGGAGTTGACATGTGCAAAGCGTAATTGTAAAATTTATCTAATTTTATGAATTATAATTAAATGATGCAATTACATGGACCACTTCGATTTTAAGCTTCCACGATTTATATTTGTTTACGCACGTAGCTGCGTGTTGAAAAACATTCGAGTACAATTAACATTTAATCATTCGTTAAATCTTTTTCCACCGTTACGATTTTAGAATGCATTAATTGGGGAGTTGCAGTATGAAAGGTTTTAAATTGCGCGTATAAATATAAGTGAGCGATAACATCGTATAAGAGTAACATTGTAAAACAGGTTTTTGTACCTGTCATATCGTAAATTGTAACGTTGATCGATCGTAGCGATAATACGCGAAACGTAAGGTGGTTCGTAAGCTTTCCAATGTTTCTTCGAGCATGCAACATTTGTTTCACGTGGAATTCAAGCTGTATCGATACTGACGACAATGGTATGTGCATTCATTCAGCATTTCAATGGACCCAACGGTACGACACACCTGGTGGAGCTTGACATTTGGCGGTTTCTTCACCTACCTCTCCTTGTTTGGCACTAACCAAGTTCAAGTTCAGAGAATGTTAACCATCAGGTGAGCACCATCGGCGACTTTCTACCCAGGTGTACGCGTGTCGCGATATCGCGAATTATTGCCATTCCATGATTAACCGATGCCGATATTCCATCATGAAATATGTCGAAAGAATTCCGGTCGGATTCGACATATTTATTTCTTTCATGAAACGCAGATCAAGTGGCACGCACCACTTTTACATTTTTTATTTATCTAATTCGAGTTTGATAAGATTTAGCACACTAGCGTTTGCGAATTTAATTATGATGATAAAGTTGAAGTAGCAAGATAGATCATCTAAATCGACAATATCTTGGTCCAAGATATCCTTACATCCTCAATAAGTCTGCATTCAAAAGATCACCAGATCTCCGGTGTCCACAGACCCTGATGTCTTTAGACTCCCAATATCTGTAGGTCACAGTATCTCCAGATTATAGCATACACTTCTAGATCCTGACATATCTGAATTCTCTTAACTCTATGTCTCTATATCCCTGTATTCCGAGTTTCTATAAAACAACTGATAAATTGCCATCACGAATTTAAACCGGTTCACTACTCAAGTTGAACCAATAGATCATCGACAAAGGTTTAAATTCCGCATACAACGGATTCCGTTGACAGAGAAATAAAATTTCCAAGCATCACGATTACCGTGTATCCAGGCATTGTATTCATTTCGCGGCAACATAATCATGATTCTCTTCTCCTAAGCGTGACGACAGAACGACGAAGGAATTTCCCCGGGACTTTATCCAAGGCACGCATCTTGCGTGCATACCGTCGCGGTCGGTAGCGATCGTTCGATAAATCGCATAACCGGGAGAAGCCGGTGCGCGATCCGACTTAATAATAATCGTGGAGAAAAATCATATTGCCGACTCGGAACTTTCAGAGATCCGAGAGATGCGAGGACCGCGATCTGGTGGAGTTGGCCATTGTCGTCGCTCATGTCTCTGGGCCTTTGTTTCTGCGGGCTGGCGATATACGCGGAATATCGTGATTGCGACCCCCTCAAGAACGGAAGGATCACCTCGTACGATCAATTAATGCCGCTCTACGTGATGGACATGCTCTCCGCGTATCCAGGTATACCCGGCCTCTTTATAGCCGGCATCTTCAGCGCCGGACTGAGCACCATCTCCGCCACGGTGAATTCCCTCGCGGCCGTTATACTCGAAGATTTTATCAGGCCGCTGTGCCGTACAAGGTAACAGTCGTAAAATCGCGGAATTAACCGAATTTATGACGCGTTTGTCAATTATATTTTAGACTTGTAAATTAGATTCCAGTATGGAACGGACGGACGATTCTATCGAATTCCGTACTTTGTTACTGTCAGCATATTTTACTTTCTACCCAAAAATTCTTAGACAAACTTATACGTTTATTAACTTCTACATTTTTTTATTAACTATTTGCTATAGAATTTTTGTATATTTAAATTTGCAAAGAATTATCGAATCTTCAACGTCCAAATCCTTAAACCCCTCAATCTGTAAGTCTTCGAATTATATCATTAAATTCCTGAAGAGCTAAATCTCTAAACAACTGTCTAAATCCCTAAATCGCTGAATTCCTGAATACATCTGAAGCTCCCGAACGAACGAAATTCGCATATTTGAAACGCGTAACAAATATTAAATTCGCCGACTTTTTGGCGACTACAGGTCGTTGGCACTCGGGTTACCTGGTCGGCACATAAATCATGTCATTTGGAAATTTCTTCTTTTTACGATTTTTGCGGAATCGAGCGCCGAATTTAGATTCGAGGTTATTAGAATTAACGGCTAGTCGTATTTAAAAATTCGTGATATACGATAATTTTTATATATGATTTTAATATCGACTTAACAAAAAATAACACTGGATATTTCCGTACTTTGTGTACCGTTCAAATAAATTTCAATGCACATGAATTTCCTATCTTAAAAATTAAATTTTTCAATTTCTAAAATTTACTGATATTAAATGTACTTATATTAAATTTATTTGTATTAAATTTACTGATATTAAATTTATTTATATTTGCAAATGCAAAGAACAACTTACGTACAAAATAAAATTAACAAAAATTTACAAAATAAAATTAAATTAAAAAATTGATTACTGTTTCAGAGGAAAGGAGATCACGACGACGGGATCGATCATAATCAGTAAAGTCCTGGGCGTGATAGTCGGTGCGAGTTGCATAGCGTTGGCTTTCATGTCACGACACCTCGGTGCACTGCTTCAAGCCGCGCTGACGATTTTCGGTGTGGTTGGCGGTCCTGTCTTTGGTCTGTTCACGCTCGGTATGTTCACGCAAACGGGCAATCAGAAAGGAGCGATAATTGGTCTGTTGACCAGTCTAATTTTCTCTCTGTGGATCGGATTCGGTCAACCGAAGCCACCGATCCCGAACAAACTGCACGCCACCTCGTGCGAGTACAATGTCACCGTGTATCACGATTACGAGGAATCGTCGCATTTCGCGAACGGGTAAGGAATTCGCCTGCTATTTAATGACCACGCACAATCTCGCAGTCCCCATTCCTCGTAGAATGCTTATTGATTACTTTTTCACGATCGAACACCTGATATTCGCGACTCCTGTGCAATTACTATGTTGATACTAGTATGTCATTTAATGCAATTGCTTTCCAACAGGCAAATAAGTCGTCTATCTAACAGCCAGACTAACGATGACTCATACTTTTATCTCTACCGCATTTCGTACATGTGGTACTGCCCGATCGGATCGGTACTCAGCTTCGCTGTCGGATGGGTCGCCAGCTGGATCTGCGAGCGTATCTCAGGGAAAGAAAGGAAACAGTTGCATCCTGATCTTTTCACGCCTATTTTGGCTGCAAGGTTGAGGAAACGAGAGAAGAAAGTGGAGGAGTTTCAGAGCAGTGCGACGTTAGACTCTATCTTCTGATTGAGAGGACTATTTGTGTGAAGGTATACCATCCTTGATATACTTGATATCCTTGAGGAATCGAAATTTAAAATAGAACAGAAGAAGTTCGAGGGAAATCAAAAATGATCAGAGAAGATCTCGAAATCTGAAATTTTCAAATCCTAGACATTATTTATAAATTTAGACATTATCGAATAAATTTTCACATTCCCACTGAAGTTCAAAAATTATCTAATATACAAATTCTGAAACTTTCTAATTTTTAATCTTGCGAATTTGCAAACTTCAAACTTAATAAATATCCAAAGTTACTGCAAAAATGAAAAAAATGTATAAATTCGAAAGTGTATAAATAAGAAATCTAAAAGATGATTTACTATTAACTGTTGCATCGAGAATATACGAAAGTGTACGATGGCAAAATCGATACACCTGCGAAAGGATTTTCTCTCGTCAGCACATAATTTCACCTGTTACATGAACGAATAATCGAACCTCGCCTCCTTGGCTTACGATTCACCGATCGAAAACACGATCTCGAGCAACGATTAATCTACCGAACGTTCGCTCTCCATGCAATCTTGCCACGTCATCGTATCATTTTCAACACTACCGTCAGCCAAAAAATTCCGACGAACAGAAACAGAACCACCAATGTCGATCATTAATTTACAGTAGACACATGCGTAGATCCACGGTGGCTGACTTTGAGAGAACTCTCGTAATTGGCCTTCACCTAAAAACAAGGCGAGCTAAGTCCGAATTCGACGAGACACGTGGACATCAAGCTGCGCACGGAAACTTTTATAAATTGCCTTCGATTTGTAGATATAGTATACATTTGTATACATTTGGACGTTTTCAAACTTTTGAGACAGTAAATACTTTGATTTTTGAGTTACTGAATATTTTATTCTTCAAATTTTATGGTCAAATTTCTAAGCATCCAAATTCTCAAACTCCCAAATTTCCAACCTCTCATAAATTCCCAACTCCCTAAATTTTATTCGCCGAATTCCACATTTCCCAACTCCTGAATTTCCAAATTCTCAAGCTTCCAAATTTCCCACCTCTCCCAAAATTTACAGATCCCCAAATTCTCAAACCCCGATATTCCATTCACTGAATCCCACATTCCCCAACTTCTAAATTTCCAAATTCTCAAACCCCGATATTCCATTCACCGAATCCCACATTCCCCAACTTCTAAATTTCCAAATTCTCAAACCCCGATATTCCATTCACCGAATCCCACATTCCCCAACTTCTAAATTTCCAAATTCTCAAACTCCGATATTCCATTCACCGAATCCCACATTCCCCAACTTCTAAATTTCCAAATTCTCAAACCCCGATATTCCATTCACTGAATCCCACATTCCCCAACTTCTAAATTTCCAAATTCTCAAACCCCGATATTCCATTCACTGAATCCCACATTCCCCAACTTCTAAATTTCCAAATTCTCAAACCCCGATATTCCATTCACTGAATCCCACATTCCCCAACTTCTAAATTTCCAAATTCTCAAACCCCGATATTCCATTCACTGAATCCCACATTCCCCAACTTCTAAATTTCCAAATTCTCAAACCCCGATATTCCATTCACTGAATCCCACATTCCCCAACTTCTAAATTTCCAAATATCCCACCTCTCCCAAATCTCCCACGTCTCCTAAACCTTCACATCCCCAAATTCCATTCCCCAAATCCCACATTCCCCAACTTCCAAATTCCCAAATTCTTCTTTCCCCCAATTTCCCACTTCTTCCCAAGTATTCATATTCCCCTTTGGTAGAGTCAAACATCACAAGAATTGACGAGGAAAGGCAAGATCCGAGACATAAGATGTTAGAATTAGGCTAAGCACAGTGTCCTCGCACGTTCTCTTTCCTGCAACAGGCAGACGTAAACACCAGGGACCACGGGTGTGCTTGGACGTTTACCGAAACGTTCGCAAATCACGATGGAATGCCGTCAGACTGGTGTTCCCGTGCACGGCACACGGTGACATACAGAACGAAGCAACGACCCGTGCAATGTGCACCGCTTACGTAAGGAAATAACGCTTGTCGACTTTGCGGACCACCTCGAGATTCGTTTCGATCGTGAACAGTGGCTCGCTGGTGTCTTTTGATAGAGCTGATACGAACGTACGGTATCTGGTTGATTTCATTGACTTACGTTGTCGATATATTGATATATTACAATATAAAACTTCAAATTGGAGTATATGTGGGATTTTAAGGTATGACACGTTTAGGAGTTTGAGGGGTCTGCGATGCTGCGCTAGGTACAGTGGTGTTGGATATTTAGAGATGTGGGGCGTTCAGAAGTATGTGGAATTTAGGGATGTGGGATATTCAGGAGTGTGGGACATTTAGGAGTCTGCGATACTAAGGTAGATACAATCCACTGATTGGTCATTTAGAGATGTGGGGCATTCTGGAGTATGTGAAATTTAGGGATGTGGGTCATTTAGGAGTTTGCGATACTAAGCTAGATACAATCCTCTGATTGGTCATTTAGAGATGTGGGGCATGCAAGAGTATGTGAAATTTAGGGATGTGGGATATTCAGGAGTATGTGATATTAGCTATGCCTATACATAAATATGTGGTACCCAGAAGTGTGTAACATTTAGGGATGTGGGGCATACAGGGGTATATGGCATTCAGCGATGTGGTCTATTCAGGGCCATGGAGCATTTAGGGGTCTGGGTTACTCTGCTGGGTCTAGTACAATCAGGGGACTGTAACTTAGGTGTAAAAGTGACTGTGACTTAAGACTTCCGTCAGGTTGTTTTGATAGGCATTATTGAACATAGCATTGCATGTAGTGTTATCATTACTGTCCATCAAAATGTTCTCCATAAGTGTATCATTCAATAAAGGTTTTAAAAATGAAACTTAGAAGTACCAGCTTGCAATACTCTACTAGTAACGTTTGAAAATGACTCGGATGATTGGGATGCGATTCACATAAATAAGATTCTAGTGTACTCGCGATTTGACTTGCGTTGAACTTTCACAAGAAGGTTTACCTTTACGCGCCGCCATCAATCGTTGAGCAACTACTATCTCCTCGTAATTGCGTTACGCAATTCGCGCACGTTTCATGCGCATCGACGCTAATTTAGCAAACAACCGGGAGTACCGCGGTTATGTAAGGGTGACGAATTCGTGGGATGATTTTGGTACCGAAGATGCTTGGTAAAAGATCATAGAAATTGTGATACGCGTCATTCATCTTCCGTGAACAATAAAATGTTCAAATGTTTATACTACTTGTTTTATTACCCGTATCCATGGGAGTAAAGGTTCTAATTAACAATCAAAGAGAACAATTGTTCTACAAAATCTCTCATATGCCACCACATGGTGTTTCACGGTATGCTCGGAGATCATGGCTGGTATTTTCCGCCATAAAGTTAGAAATTTCCTCTAATTGAGCTCGTAAAGAACCCAGTTAATTTCTTCGTTCGTATTTTCCCCACGAACTCGATTCCAGCGAAGCCCGGTAATAGACTACTTTAGAAGAGATTAAGATCAGAACAACGGGAGCCGGAAAACACTACCGAGAATCGCTATAAAATTACATGACTAGGCCTGCCGGTATTCGCATACTTTATTGTATAACAAATTCATCTTTAAATATAACATATGTATACATGATTATTATTTGTACATCCTATTATGGACTGCAGATACTTAATGTGTGTGTGATGTGATTAGAGTCTTGTGAGAGATGTGTAAATGAATGTGGAGGTCACATACCAAATTTATTTATGTGTTGTTAAACTAACAAATTCCAAAATTTATAAACAAAATCTTCTCAAATTATGAAATCATAGAATTCTCAAATCCTTAAATTTCCAAGTTTCCAAAATGCCAAACTCCTCAAATCCATAGATCTCCCAAAATCTCAAATCCTCACAAATCTTTAAATTCCCCACATTAACCGAATATATAAACATCCTAAATTCCCCCAAATTTGAGATCATCAAAAATCCCCAAATTCCCCCAAATCCAAACCCATCAAATCCCCTAATTCCCCAAATTTTCCAAATTTCCTAAAATCCCAAATTTCCAAAAATTTTAGATCACAAAAAATCCCCAAATTTCCCCAAAACCCACCGAATCTCCAAATTCCTCAAGATCTTAAATTTCTAAATTTTACAAGTTCCTCGAATTACTCTTCCAGCTTTCACTGATAACGAAATGATTCTAAAGAATGCCACTATCGCCAAGACCTCGTAGAAAATAGAAAGTCTGTCCAAACAATTTTACCTAAGAGTTTTTGTCCTCCAAGAAAGCAGTCTTCGGATCGAAATAATTAAACGCACCTCCGGGGGTGTGCGTACAAGGTGTAATTAAAGTGGAACAGTAGTGCGCGAAGATGAACGTAATGTTCAACGCAAATTTGCATGTAATCCATCATTTGCGCATTCCGTATTCCGTGTAGATGCAGTACGTGCCGAGAGAAAGACCTCATCCGCGGAATGCACGGCATTATAATGAGAATGCAGGACGCGATACAACGACTCGATTATTTCATTTAATGACAGGGAACATTAGACAAGTCATATCCGCGGTGATACGCGTTCCTTGCTTAGGTTCCGGAGGAAAAGGCAAAGCTACCTCATTGTTTTTCGCTCATAACACAATGAGGGGGATATTTAATACTCGACGTAAACGAGACATTTTTCCGTGTAATCGTCTTCCTTGCTTTAGACTGAGAAAATAAAAAAAAATATGGAGGAAGAAAAGATCTATGATAAAGTTTCTAATCGAGTCCCATTGTTCGATTTTGATCTTCAAGGCTTATGAACGTTTGAGTTATTTTTAAATTAAACATAAAAAATTAATTTATATAATTCTTCGTCTGGACAAAAGTTGATATTTTGAGGAAAACGTCTTAGAAATGTCTGCAATTCAAGATCAGGAGTCGAAGATGATTTTTACACATTCCTTAAATACATTGTTAATATGCAAGATGTAGAACACATGATCCTATATAGAACACACATCTTATATTATAAATTATAGATTGATTTAAATCATAGAAAATAATCAGAATACACAGGTTTTTATTGTATATGTTTGGAAAGGACCTGAAGATCTCGAGAAATAAAATTGTTAAACCAACGCGGTAAAGATGACAGTAGATATATGTAGATTCGGTGTTAATTCTAGTGCTAATTGCAAGTTGCCGATCGTGCATTTATGTTTTAGCCTTTTATTTTCCGTCTCTTGACTTACCAAGATAAATTTCTTAATTATACCGCCGGTATTCCGGTCGTAACAGGGGAACATTGTACTTGACCAACACATTCTACGCATGGAAGTACACCATAGGGTATGGGGTAAATGGTGTAGGTATATACTCATTGGCGTAGCTAGATTTTTGGTAGCCGACTATTTTCAAATCTTTCATATTCTCAAATGATCGAGTGAATAACTGAATAAATGACAAAATGACAATGTGGTCAGGTGGCCAGCTAGACAAATAACAAAATGGTCAAGTGATCAAATGTTGAAATGATCAAATGGACACATTGTCAGATGTTGAAATGATCAAATGGACACATCATCAAATGGTTAAATTATCAAATGACTACATGTCAAAATAATTAAATGACCAAATGGTCAAATTATCAAGTGGTCAAATGGTCAAATGATCAAATGACCAAATGACCAAATGTCCAAATGAGCAAACGTCCAAATGACCAAATTATCGAATCACTAAGTTGCCAGTGCTCCAAATTTCAAGCTTCGAAATGCCTGGACTTCCAAATTCCCAAATCCCCAAGTCATCAACTTTCCAAATGCCTAAACTTCCAAATTCCCAAATCCTTAAGTCATCAACCTTCCAAATGCCTAAGCTTCCAAATTTCCAAATCCTTAAGTCATCAACTTTCCAAATGCCTAAACTTCCAAATTCCCAAATCCTTAAGTTATCAACCTTCCAAATGCTTAAACTTCCAACTTCCCAAATCCCCAACTTATCAACCTTCCAAATCCCCAAATTCCAAACATTCAATTTCAAAATATCCTACCTCTTCACATTCCAAGGTATCAGATCCCTAAACATCCAAACACCACCACTCACAAATCTATAAATTGTAAACTTTGAAAATCCCTCTGAGTCCTCCCGATTCACCCCATGATCTACCTATCACATGATCTACCTACCAAACGCTAAGTCGTAGCTTGCCCCATAATCCACGTAAATTCACCCCAAGCCCTTACGCCAATGCAACCACCATATATTTTTTTCGACCTAACCAGAGTTGTACATAGTTTCCATGGGGAGCAGCCGTTCCGTTTCCTCATACCGTGCATACGTGCCTAACGAGCAACTCGGTATAATGCACATAACGCCATTATAATAAACATCGTACTCGCTCATTCACGCTGAGAGAGCGTAAGCTCGCGGGCGTGTTAGTGCACGCACAGGATACGTTCACGCCGTCAGTGTATTTTCTTTTGCTCGAATGCACTGAACCGAGGAGATGCATACCATTCCTTGTGAAATTTATGCTGAACAGTATTTTTCGTCGAGGACGAGACAGCTCGAGCCTGTACGCGCCAACGAACCTCTTGCTCGCGAAGGTTTCTACAGAATATAATGTGGTATTTCTCTTTTTTTTCTCTCCCTTTATGACTTCAAGGTTTTCTTAATAAAGTTCAGAAAGAGAAGAATTTAACGCTTTGCTATTCTGACCGGAGGTGTCTGTTAACGTTGCCTGCTAACGACAGCTTAATTGAAGATTGCAACTATGAATTTCATTCGGTGAGAGGAGAGAAATTACAATGCAGACGATTGAAAGATTTTAGTCGGAAATTGATCCTTTGTATCTTTCGTTATGGACTTCATAAGTACCCTTATTCATTTAACTCTTTTGAAAGTTACTATCTTAGAGATTTTTAAATTTACAAATATTTTTCAAGGTCTGATGATGTTAAAAATCACGAATCACATGTGGAAGTGTTGGAAGTTACATGTAAGTTTGAACTTTCTTTCCCAAATCAGAAACTGAAATATATACCCTCTGTGGATACTTCCTCTAATTATATTGCACAAACACGAGCACCGTACTCCAACTTGTGTGTACTAATAAATTACCTAGCTATTTTGTCCCATGTTGATACCCTCCTAATTACCTGAAAAATAACCTAACCTCAATATTATCGGAAAAATCAATGTACATACGTTAACGATCACTTATTGTCTTCGTACGATTAATAAACGCTTAATAACCGTGCTTATTACACGTCATTACCGTAACAATGGGATAACCGAGTAAATCAAGCCATCGTAATTACTACACAAAGCAGGCTACGTTATGAAAGATTCATGAATATGCACGGAACGATGCATAGAAATGTTCCCATGGTTATCCGTAATGTCCGATTCAATCGATGATAATGACCATAAGAGAAACACGAAGTTCAACGTACAAAGCCACGAAAACACATTACTTGGGAATCTTGGGTTACACGATCAACAATGGTGAAAAGAGTGAGAATCGAATTTTCAATTCTACCATGGAAATTATTATTTCCGATCATATTCGATAAAGAGGATAATGAACTGGTCGGAGAAACTGGTCTTCCTGGCTAGTATAGTTCTTAAGTACTTTCTGATACTTTCTTGTTTCTGGTAAGTTAGCAGTTGGGTGTAGATTGTCGTACTATCTTGGTGATACTGGTTCACATATCGTGAGTGCTTTAAAAATTTGTTGGATTATAAAATTTCAATTTTTTAAACTTTTTAATCATTTGATACTTGTATTGTATGCTTATTACTCCGTGAACTCTTAAATTCACAAATTTCTAAATCCCTAAATTTTCAGACTCCACCATCTCTAAATCCCCAAATCCTCAAATTCCACCTATTCTAATTTCCCAACTCGTTAAATTCCTCCACTTCTAAATCCCCGAATCTCCAAATCCTCAAATTCCACCTATTCTAATTCCCCAACTCGTCAAATTCCTCCACTTCTAAATCCCCGAATCCCCAAATCTCCAAATCCTCAAATTCCACCTATTCTAATTTCCCAATTCGTCAAATTCCTCCACTTCTAAATCCCCGAATCCCCAAATCCCCAAATCCTCAAATTCCACCTATTCTAATTTCCCAACTCGTCAAATTCCTCCACTTCTAAATCCCCAAATCTTCAAATTCCTCCAATTCCAAATCCCCGAATCCCTAAACGCCCAAACCCCCAAATCAATCCTCTTCTAAATCCCTAAATCCTCAAAATCCCTCCTCTCCTTAATCCCCAAATCCTCAAATTCTCAAGTCCCCCAAATCTCCAAATATTCCCTAGAACCAATTCTCGAAAAAATAGAATGTGACAAATGTATGTTGGTTCAAAAAGATTATAAAATTAAAAGGTATCGTTATTTATCGTTCGTGCAAAAACGACCCGTTCAACATTGATGGGATCGGACCGATGTTCCCTTGGTCTCATTACAGATACCATCGATCAATCGATATGGAACGATCACGCGAAACAAGAAATGTCTTCGTCTACGGTTTTCCCGATCGACGAAGAACGATGCTGGTTCGTTGATCTGAATCCGTACGGGCGGATATGATTCATACGTTTCAATTATTCAAGTGGTCGATACAACATTCTCGATACGGATAAAACCTGTTCGCTCGAAAATAAATGCGTTTCGTTCATAGTACACGTGACGTAACTTTATGTTAATTATTAATGAATTCCTTTTTTCTTTCGGCGATTGATTCTTTTTAACGAGACTAAATACGTGAATATCATTCATCCGTGAATCCAATTTGCTGCTGGATTAGATTTATTTTCAGCGTGGACCAATTTCGAATGAAAGGTATCGTGGAATTAAGAATGAAAAATTTGTACGGGTGATTCATGAATTTCCATAGCGGTTACCTGTTGGAATTAAACAGGTTTCGAATAACCTTCTTGCAAATCGAAAATTTTCTGTTGATTATACCTGACAAATACCCGGTACATACACGACTGCAAACTTTGACATTTGAAGTTTTGATTGTAAATGAAATTATAGATTTCCAGCGAATGACGTCGAAAACTGGTAAAGAAAGGCACACTTGAATCGAAGGGTTAACAGGTATCGCCCGATGCCATAAAAACGAAGCAACAGGTCTTACAAAAAGAAAATTTCAAATAAAACTCGTGTCTTATGAAACAACTTCCAGGCGCCACCTTCGCTGTTCAAACTTGACCTTCTCCTCAACATTAGAATTAGGATACTTTTTATTGTGGCGTGACGTAAGTCTTTGCGTAATCGGTGTAACATGTGTTAATACAAATTACATAATCTTTTAATACACTCGGGCCTTAAGTAGCGTTTAATCCTTTCGCTTCTTTTTTCTTGCCGATATATTCGCGTCGCAAACAAATCATATTCACTATTAGTTTCTGTATGATCATTTATAAATAAGCAGTATAATTTGTTTGTTTTAATTCATAATTATTTTGTATATTTACTGGGTTGACCAGGGTGGACAACTTTGTTTCTACATTCATAAATATTTTAATTAAAAAATTTCCAAATTTGAATATCTAAAAGCTTGAAATCTCAACTGATCAGACTCCCATAAATAACGTCAGCATGCTTCAATTTTATAGCATCGAATAAATTTCAGCTACCCTAAATAATGTCTACAAAATTGACGGATGTGGTAAGCCTGCATAAGTACGTCCATCGTCCGTAATTTCAGTGTTAATCTTTTTTCAAATTTCTATACGTAAATTCGCTCGTGTAATCTTACCTAGATTCTCCCGTTCTCCGAATCCTCCGCCTCCGGCTTCGCACAGGTGCACCTGCAACACAAATAAGCTTCGGATGATAGTGTTCCACCTGCACGGGTTCGATTCTATCCGGATAACAGGAATCGAAGGTAAAGTCCGGATACGCAAAAAGTATCGCATTCAGATGCGATGAACGCTGACCAACATGTTCAGATAGTTCAAACCGCTACGATCCAAAACACGAAATTGTATGTTGTTTTCCGCAACATTGAATTCCCCCGCAGTAATCTACCGGGAACATTTTTAAGAATGGCACACTGCTGCACGTTAGGCAAAAACAGTGTTCCGTACATGGTTATTAACGCGGTCGATACCGTATGGGTCACTGGTGACCTCGGACAACCATCTTTAATTAAGGAAAGAGAAGGTTTCTTTTGTGACGTATAAACTTGCAGTTTTATACAGTATAATTATATAAACTTAAATAGACATGATGTACATGAAAGTATATGAACTTAGATATGACTTGTGTGAATATGTATGAACTTAGACACGTGTGACTTATATGAAAGTACATAAACATTTGATCGATATTTTGATTACATTGATGAATTCTCTCAGACACATGATTTCACATGACTGATGTCAAAGTATCCCTCCCTTGAAGCTGATAAGATATTGATATGTTATACGAAATCACATGCTCTCACACATGTGCATATACCAATGCTCACTTAAAATCGGATCACAATTTAGCATTGTTGCAACAATGTAGAACAACATAATTTCACGCTACACGATATTAATGTGTACCTTCGAGATAAGAGCACATTGCCACCGTGTCACGCGAAATCACGTACTATCACAAGACACACGAATGTATGTTCCGTTCGGTTGAATTCAGGTCACAATTTACGATAGCCACATTGTAACAATGTAGAATCACGCAATTTCGCGTGACCTGGTGTAAAAGCATCTCTATCTTGAAAATAAAAACACATCGGTAGCGTGTCACACGAAATCACGTGCTGCCACAAGCAACACATATGTACATTCCGATCGATTAAATTCGGATCACAATTTACGACAGCCTCGTTGTAACAATGTAGAACCACGTAATTTCGCGTGACGCGATATTAATGTGATCCTACCTCGGAGGTAAAAACACCGTGTCACGTGAAATCGCGTGATGTCACAAACAACATGTACATTCCGATATTCGGCTGGCAATTTATGATAATCTGGTTGTAACAATGTAGAGCCACGTAATTTCGCGTGTCACGATATTAATGTCTCCGCCGCGAAGGTAAAAACACATAGACATAGTGTCACGCGAAATCACGCGCTATCACAAACAATGCGCGATTGTATTCGGGTAGCAATTTATGATAGTCTCGTCGCAACAATGTGGAATCACGTAATTTCACGTGACGCGATATTAATGTGTTCCTACCTTTACGCGCGCGTTGCACACCATCCTGAAGCGGAGAAGCGCGTCGCGTCGCGTCGCGCCGAGCGAGTTTAACGAATCTGAAACAGAGAGAGGAAAAGAGAGAGAAAGAGAGAGAAGGAGAGAGAAAGAGAGAAGAAGCGGGCGTCTCGGCCGAGTATTCCAGGTTAATTTTACCGAGCCCTAAGGAGCGCATGCGAAGGACCGGCGAAGGATAACGCTAGCGGGGCTCATCGGTTGGACGCTGCTCCAAGCGAACGAAGGACGCCCGCATTCCACGCCGCAACCTGGTATAATACGAGGAATTGGCCGAACAGAACAGGAGAGGAACAGAGAGGCGAGGAACGAGCTTTTTCTGTGCCAGACGAAGAGAACGAACTCTCGAGCAAGATGGAAAGAAAGAGGAAGACGAAGTAGAACGTGGAAGCGAGAGAGACGCGTCCTTATAAAAAGAGAAGGAAGCAGAAACGTAGTAAGAAGAGGGTTGTTGCGAGAAGAGTTGCGTCTGCATCATCCTTCTCGCCTACTCTTCGTCCGCTTTCCCTTCGTCATACAGTAGACTCACTCTTATCCGTTTCCGCTTTAATCACTCTCCGCTTTATCCGGACACTGGACACATTTTCGTCGGGACGCCCAGCGGGAAAGCAATTGACACGTTCCGTGTTAATTACGTAGCTTATTTGAAGCTTTACGAGATTTGTTATGAAATTTCAATCGGGAAAAGGGTCGCAACTAGAAGTTTGACTTGGTTAGTGTATCTCCATTTTTGCAACTTATTCGTTGCCGATTTTAGGAGTGAAGTCAGACCCACTTTGATGATATAAAACTAGCACAAAGTAACATTTATGACATGTCGATGTGAAGCTTAAAATTCAGAGGACACAAGATACTTCGTTAATATTTTCAGTATAAAATTGCTGGTGGCTAATGACAGGTGTTGAAGATCTTAGAGCGTCATAGATTTTGAGATATCAAATGAATAATTTAAAGACGTGGAATGACCAACATAAAAGTACCATAAAACACTTATCAGAGCTCAATGAAAATGCTTGCATAAACATTTCATTAATATTTAGACTGTACCGGTTGCCAAACAGAGCAAGGATTGACTTCAAAGCACTTGAAGTCTAATTTCATATAAAATCACCTCAGTATTGAATTAATCTGAAACTTTACATTTATCTAAAACAACTATATAAATCTTTCCTTACCGTTCTTAACATAAAACTGCCGATTATTTATAACCACTTAACTGTCGTTTATAAAAACATAATGGGAAGCGAACAGGTTAAGAGACAAGTCTACTTATAATCACCCTCCACTTCTCTATCACCTTCATTTGTTTCATTTTCTCTTTTGCATTTTCTCTTTTGTGTTCATCGTTAGCTTCTCTTTTGTACCTGTTTTTCATTTTATTTGCTTCGAGTCCTTCTGCTGTATCTCTTCTTCTTTACCGTCTTCCCTTCTCGTTCTTCGTCCTGTTGCTTCGAGGCTGTGCGCTCGGCTGAACCGCGTGCCTGCAGCGGAAGTAAACCACCGTGCACACACGCTGCTATCTCGACTCGAGCATTCTATATACGCTATATACATTGGCGTAACTAGTATTTTTCTCTGAGAACACTCTCTTATATCGCCACGCATCAGATCGCCAGACATAGCTACACGGTGGACCGCTATATGATCACATGGTATCATACGTTCTATTACTACGCGTTGTAGATTGCCATATGTCATATTGTCACGTGTTGTATTGCCGCATGTTGCAGATCACGTATTGTATCACTACGCGTTATATTGCCACAAGTTATAAATTACCACGCATTGCTCCACCATGCGTCGTACTGTCACATATTACAGATCACAACATATTATATCGCTACGCGTTACATTACCACATGTTATAAATTTTTACGCATTATATCATCACGCATTGTATTGCCACGTGTTACCTTACCAGAATATATAACGCTATATATATAAGTCCAGAAATGTGCAACCTTGAAAAATTAAAAAATTGTAGCTGTCAGTGGTTTAAGGGATGGAAATAAGTTGGTAGCAAGTTACGCCAATGGCTGTATAGAAGCTCAAAGCGGCGGCGCTGTTCGTTGGTACGCGCGTAACTGGGATTCCTCGTTTTGCGAGCAGGCAGCTGCAACTGGCAGCCGCACTGGAGTAGGTTATCGTCGTCCTGGCTTTCACCACTTTGCCGGCCACGACGGCTTCGCGCCGACAGAGTCACGATGACAAGAGAAACGGATGGTTACGCGGCCTACCCTTTACTCTTGATTGTACGTGATTTCGGATCAGATAAGGGGCGTGGAATTTCGATGCCCGCAAGGATTTTCACGCGATACACGCGTCTCGTTTAAGCGGAATTGTTACGCGACCGCTTTATATACTCGCGTAGATCACGCACTATGTAACAGGGTGTGTTCGGCAAATATTTTCTTTCCGATTATCTTTGACTTCGCTTTTCGTTGCACCGTCGTTTACAATTTTTCAATGTTACGTTCTTTTATGATCATAAATGTTTCCGATTTTATTCGAAGAGATATAATATTGCAAACATTTTCGGATACCATGTAATGTTTAAAGGAGTACAAAATTTGTTCTAACCTATATTATATTTTTACTGTGTAACATAATACGTTAATACTAGTATAGGATACATAACCAAAGGAAGGTATATGCAGAAAATTTTTTCAAGATATCGTTAAATATTTTACACTTGCTTCGAGATTAATCTCCATTCAAAAGCAGTATAGAACTAAACAGAATGCAATTAACTCGAATCCTTACAGTGATAGATGAAAAATTCAAGAATTTAAACGGCGTCATTCAGTGCCTATTATGCACATTCCATTGTGAGAATCGAAAATATAAAATTAATAACCGAGATCGTAAGGGATGGAAGGCAATGGGATAAAGAAAAGCTATCGTAAAGTCTATGGAATAAACGTCGAATGGAAGGTAGAGGCGTGTACGTCGTATTATTCGTAGCTGTCCAGTTAGGCAGAGGAGTCCCCTGATGGGATTATAATGTGAATATAATGGCAAGCTTCCGCACTACGCAACCCTTTCATCTCCCACTCCTGCGATATGCCTTAACCTTCCTTCGAAAACCCTTCTGAGTTGCTTGGAAGTTTAATCGACTATTTGGACGATTTTCTGGACCTTAAGCCACCACACTTTTTGTACGCTTTGTGAATATAATAGATACATACGGAAACACTATATTATCTTCTTTCGTGTACTTATAACACATATCTTTTTTAATGAATCAAATCTACGTACGCTAATTTAGGAAGGTATATGATGTTTTATGACGAGATTTAATTTTTTATTGTTTGGATGAAATGCAGTGGGTAATGTGGGAAAAGGGTCATATAACGAGAGAGTCGCATAAGTCGCTAGTTTTCGAAGTTATTGATTTTTGAGTTTGAAAGTGTAGGGTTTGAAGATTTAGGGAAACATTTGAAAATTGTAGGAATTTAAATTATTTAAAAATCTTTATTCAAGAAGTCCAAAAATATGCAAACTTGAAAACGCAGTTACATTGCACCCTCACGTAAGCGAATACCACACATAGTATCTAGTAATAACAAATATATTTGCATGCGAT